GAGGGACGGGCCCGACCGACGCCTCCGAGGACACGGCCCGCGGAGACACCGCCCCTCCCCAGACCGCGCGCCCCCGGGCCGGGGCGAGGACAGACGGACGCAGGCGCACGCCCCTCGGGGCGCCCGGGAGCGCCTCCGGGGACGGCCCGGGCCGCGACGATGGAGACGCGGACCCTGCGGGGCCTGCTCGCGCTGCTCTTCCTCCCGCTGCCGGCGCCACGCGGGGCCTCGGCGGGAAGCCTGCAGAGCCCAGGTGAGAGCTGCGGCCGGCCCCGAGCTGGGAGGGCCGCGCAGGTGGCCCGAGCCGCTGGGCAGCCCTGAGGGGGCGGCCCGGGGCCGGGCGGGGATGGCAGGGGTGGGTGGGTGCCCGGCGCCGGCGGTGCGGACCCTCCCAGCCCCGCCGTCGCCGGACAGGCCTGTCCGAGTGCTTCCAGGTGAACGGCGCCGACTACCGCGGCCACCAGAACCGCACGGGTCCGCGCGGGGCCGGCCGGCCGTGCCTCTTCTGGGACCAGACGCAGCAGCACAGCTACAGCAGCGCCAGCGACCCCCAGGGCCGCTGGGGGCTGGGCGCGCACAACTTCTGCCGGTCAGGGGCGGGGCCTCTTGGGGCGGGGCCTCTTGGGGGCGGGGCCGAGGAGCGGGGACACGGATGACGAGGGGCGGGGCCTGACCACCCGGGGGCGGGCCTTAGGCGCCCACCTGTGGAGTCACAGGTGGTGGCCAGGGAAGAGAGACCAGGCCTTCGAGCAGCGCCCGGTGCCCGCAGGCCTGACCCAAGGGCGGAGTGAGGGGGTCAGGCACCGCAGTGCCACTTCCCCCAGGGGTGGGCCAGGGTAGCTTGCGTCCGACGGGGAGGGCGCGCTGGAGTTAGCGCCATAGCTGTTGAGCGGCCCAGACAGGACATGTCTCTGCTAAGCTGCAAGCCAGCGCTTCTGCCTTCAGGCCCGGCAGCCCGTAGGATATGTTACCAAGTCCTACCGACAGCTGAAAACTAAAAACAGCCCTCGGCCCGTGGGGACTGACTTCCCGCGGTCCACTCGGATGTCCGCGTCCAGAAGCACGCGAGGAAGCTAGGGTTTGTGCGAGGCGGAGAGGAGCCTACACTGACCTCTGGCCGCCAGGGCCTCGCAGCCACTTTGTGCACTGGCCGTGGGGCGGGGCCTGGGCTCTTGGGCAATGGGATCCAGACCCCGACCCGTCCATCCGCAGGAACCCAGACGGCGACGTGCAGCCCTGGTGCTACGTGGCTGAGACGGAGGAAGGAATCTACTGGCGTTACTGCGACATCCCCACGTGTCACAGTGAGTGGGCCCCACTGGACAGGGGGGGGAGGAGGCCTGGGGGACCCGGAGGCGGTGCCAGAGCCTGACCCCGCGGCCCCCCTCAGTGCCTGGGTATCTGGGCTGCTTCGTGGACTCAGGGGCTCCCCCCGCCCTCAGCGGCCCCAGCGGCACCTCCACAAAGCTCACGGTCCAGGTGTGCCTTCGCTTCTGCCGGCTCAAGGGCTACCAGGTACCGTGCCCCCGGCCAGTGACCCTTGATCCTTGACCTCAGGACCCCATTCCAACTCTGACACCAAACCGTGACACCGATTTCTGGATCTCCAGCCCAATGACTCTCGCTGACCCCGACCCCACCACCCACTCCTTCCCCAACCTTTGCATCTGGGGTCACCCAGTCTGTGCTCCCAGCTAGCGGGGGTGGAGGCAGGCTACGCCTGCTTCTGTGGTTCCGAAAGCGACCTGGCCCGGGGACGCCCAGCCCCAGCCACCGACTGTGACCAGATCTGCTTCGGCCACCCGGGCCAGCTGTGTGGCGGCGACGGGCGCTTAGGCATCTACGAAGGTGAGGAGTGGGCGGGCCTTAGGCGCCTAGGTGAGGAGGGAGGCTCTCTACGTGAGACCCTGATAGGGGTTAAATCCCGAAAGGGAAGGTCCTAGACTGAGGCCCAGGCCTGAGATTCAGGGCCTGAGAAAGGGACTGGGGTGAACTTGGTGGCTGTGGGTGGGGCTTGAGAATCTAGTGGGCGTGACCTGATGAGACTGGGCGGAACCTTCGGGCTGGGGGCGTGGCCTGGGTTGGAGGGTGGGTCTGGAGGCGGGGAATGGGCCGGCCCGGGGGGGTCGGGATGATGCTGGGGGAAGCGATTGGGCCGGCCTGGGGGCGGGGAGGGTCTTCGCGTGGGGCCCCGCCCCTGACCGCGGGCCCCGCGGGTCCGCAGTCTCCGTGGGCTCCTGCCAGGGGAACTGGACGGCGCCGCAGGGCGTGATCTACTCCCCGGACTTCCCGGACGAGTACGGGCCGGATCGGAACTGCAGCTGGGCGCTGGGCCCGCCGGGCGCCTCATTGGAGCTCACCTTCCGCCTCTTCGAGCTGGCGGACCCGCGCGACCGGCTGGAGCTGCGCGACGCTGCCTCGGGCCGCCTGCTGCGCGCCT